AGTGTTACCCACTGGAGGATGAGTACATGGGTCAGTAGTCACAGAGTCAGAGCAGAAGCGCACTGAGAAAGATCCTCTTGATAAACAAGGGTGGGACCAAGGGAATAGTCAACAATGACAACAAATGCCACCTGCAGAGTACAGGGGATGAGAGAAGAGTCTGGAGCAGGAAGAAAGCATCTCTCCTGTCCAGCGACAGATTCAGAGCATGGCTCTTGAAACGCCGTTTAACTCCACGGCACAGTTCTAAAAAGTCAGGCGAAGTAGGTTTAACACCCCACGGGTAGTTCTGCTCAACAGAATCTGAGCAAGGCGTTTGGATGGCGTGTTAAAACACTTCAGAGCAGAGAATCTATTTCCCGTTTGCTATCTAAATTATTTCAACCAAAAGACAGGCTCTAATTAAGCTAAATCCTTTTAGGCACATTAAACAATTCATTCATCCTTTTTGTTCTGAAAGTTTGCCCAAATTTGAAGACTGGTCTCCTGTGATTTGTAAAGAACAGTTAGTTCCTGTGAACAGTTCTTCATAACACTGTACTTTCCATAAAGAATCAAAGGGTGTTTCCCAAAACCCACTTCAGGTAGGCAGAAGAATTACATCTGAGATGTTCCTCTGGCACCGGCATCAAAAACACTTCCTAGCGACACCCGTCAAAGCATTAAGGCGAAGAGAGATCCACATTATATTTTCGAATAGGAAACTTGATGCACTTTAAACTTTAGCAGCTGGGTAGCTGAGCTGTTTCATGCGGATTTGCTGGCTTTTATCCCTGGCTGTGTTTGGTCAGCCATATCCCCGGAGTGTTATCATCCCTCATTTTATGGCAAGAAATGAGCCATATTGTGAGTGTCAATATTTGGGGGGGGGGTGGCCTCCTAAGTTTTCTACTCAGTTACATATTTTAAAAAGTGCTTACTCTTTTCTGAAGATTTTTTTGGGAAGTCACACTGCATCAGAACTCATTCTACTATGGGTCAGATGTAATATATCCCTCATGGGCCCATGTGTTTGCTTGAATGCTTATTTGTTCCAGCTGTAGCTACAGAGGTTGTAGAACTTTCTGGAGATGGGCCTGACTGAAGGAGAGGGTCACTTTGGGGCATTGCTTGAGTCCAAAGCAACTTGGGGAGGACAGGGTTTATTTGGCTCACACTTCTGCATCACTGTTCATCACTGTAGGAAGTCAGGACAGGAAGTCAACAGTGCAGGAACCTGGAAGCAGAAGCTGATGCAGAGGCCATGGAGGGGTGTGGCTTACTGGCTTAGGTTGCTTTTTCATAGGACCAGCCCAGGTATTGTACCACCCACAATGGGCTGGGCCCTCCCCTGTCAATCACTAATTAAGAAAATACCCAAGAGGCTTGTCTACAGTCTGATCTTACACAGGCATTTTCTCAGTTGAGGATCTTGTCTTTCAGGTAACACTAGCTTCTGCAGAGCTGACATAAAACTAGCTGCTACACCATGATACAATAGTGATATACGTTTAATGCAAGCCACACTTCCAAGTTTGGATTTGGTTCTTCCTTGGCTAAACCCATGCACACCATACATGATCAGTCCTGGATCACGAGGGTGAACATACTCTGCAGCACACTATGTCATGAGCCAGGCTGGCTATCGGATTGTGTGTACTTAATGACTTTCGACCTGTAATATTTTCAGTAGGTAGTGGGTTTGCCAAGATAAAATCCAATCATTAAGTGGAGGCGTGTGTAGTGGGGGTCACTGGAAGGCCTAGATCAAGGATGAATGAAGAAGGAACTCCTGGGTGGGAGGTCACAGCAAGGGCAGACAGTGGGGTGAGGGCTGGGGAGTAATGCTCTGCATGCCTCTGTACTTTCGTTAGGCACTGCACTGGTAGGCAGGCCTGGGGCTTGCAGGTCTTCTGTAGCCTGTTCTTTCCACGTCTTTCTGTCTAGTCTGGGATGGTGCAGAGTCCCTCTCCAGGGAAGCTCCTCTTCAGGCTTACCCCAGAGGCAATAACTCTTTCTTCTTTGGTGTTGCAGAACTTGACTTGTCCATTCTTGGAATTTTCTTCTGCTTTGCTCCTTAGTACTTCCTACTTTTGTTTCTGCTCACCACAGGGCAGAGGAACATATCTTTTGTTATCAAGGGGCAGTGGGACTTGTACTTTTTTCTCTTATTGCAAGTTTTTCTCTTATTGCAATGCAGAAAGGTTGTTTACATCGAGGAATTAACAGTTTTCCCATGACAGAGCATCCATTCTCCTTTAAGACTTCCTTCAACTCCCGTTGTAGAACAATCATAAAATCACTCATTTTCCCCATGTGTTTTATCTTCAAAACATTTTACAAGCTAGTAGTTCTCAAAAGGACTAAAACTATAGGCGCTATCGTCACAGCTTATATGAGATAAGGGACACCGGCAATTTTCTTCTCTATATATTGCCTCTCACGGTGGCAAAACTGGAGCTTTAACTCACTTAGGTTATCTGAGGGTGAGCTCAGTTGGGAAGGCTCAGTTGGGAAGTTCTATCTTCTTTTAAGAAAAGTTGAATGGGACTTTGACCTATTCGTTGAAAATAGGAGAAAGAACCATAAAGAAATAGTTTGGGAATGAAGTGCAGTCCTGTGTTAATACTGGAAAAAATCAAAACAAAACAAAACACAGCAGAATTCTGATACCCTCAAATGGCTTCATAAAATGACACATTTCCAATTCTAAGCTTACTTCAATGGATGGAATGTATCATTCTCTCCTAACTTGCGAGATTCTAAAAACTCAATTCATCTGAAGAAGGGACTTGAATGCATGGGTTTTTTTTCATGATGTTTTAGGGGAGAGTAGGGGAAGAGGCAGTGAAGAGGGGGCAGAAATGCTAGGGAGGGGTGCAGTCTACAGAGTCAGAAGGGACGATGCATGAGAGAAGGGGGCTCAGAGGAGAACTTACAGAACTTACTGGTATGGTAGTCCATCACACACAGTAGCCAATGCTTTCCTTGGAAATAGTTGGCCTCCATCTTCTGTGCCAAAGACAAGAGGTTCGTGTGGAAATCAATTCATGTTCCTTTAGCGTCTGTGCTAGAGAGAAAGCCATTGCTTCCCTCAGGACTTACTTAGTGGTATCATTTTTATTAAAACAATGCTGACAAGTGTGCTTAAAGAAGTGAATACTCTACCATAGTGAGAGGAAACAAGTTGTCACAGGTGTGAGCCCCATCTAGACTCCAATCCCCATAGTTCTTATCATTCATTGTGTCATTCCTCTCATGCATGAGAGATGAAGCTGTTGATACTAACTGCAGGGAATAAAGACAAGAGTCTTGTATTTGATGAATCTGGGCTTTTCAAATAGACTTAGTTTTAATATGCTTTCTTTTACTTAAGCAGACAACCCTTTCAGATCCCAAAGGAATACCCAGCATCGGTACATGTGAAATATCTTATGATGTATTTGATTTTCTGTCAAGTGTTTTAAACAAAAGCTTATGGCCAATATCACAAAGCAGGGGGACAACAGAGAGTGGAGAGACGGGGGAAGAGAGGGAAGGTGAGTAATGGGTTCTCAGTGGAAGAGGGGACAGTGTACCTCAGCAAATCTTCCATCTGATGGCCAGGTTGAACTATACTTTTTATCGGTGCTGCTCATGGAAAACTATTAATACATCATTAACTTAGTTAGGGTTTCTATCGCTGTGGAGAGACACCATGACCATGGCAACTCTTATAAAGGAAAACACTTAATTGGGGCTGGCTCACAGTTCAGAGGTTTAGCCATTATCGCCACGGGAGGAAGCATGGCAGTGTGCAGGGAGACACGGTGGTGGGAAGGTAATCTGAGAGCTCTACATCTGGGTCCCCAGGCAGCAGGAAGAGAAGAGAGGCACTGGGCCCGACTTGAGCATCTGAAACCTCAAAGCCCGCCCCCAGTGACACACTTCCTCCAACAAGGCCACACCTCCTAATAGTGCCCCTCCCTGAACCTATTGGGGCCGTTTTCAGTTGAGACACCACAGTCATATAGCTCACAATGAAATGCAAAGTGGGGCCATGAGGGATGCCATTCATGACAGTCCACGGGGATACACGTCCAAACTCTACATCTCCATGTCAGACTTCCAACTCCTCTTGGCTTTGTTGAGCGCAACACCCGTTTCTTCTGGGCTAGTTCCACTCCCGTTAGGAGCTCTCCTCAGCGGGGCACCATGTCTCCTCAGCGGGGCATCTCCAACATCTTGGGGTCTCCAAGGCAATCCAGGCTTCAACTTCACAGCTTCACACGATGGCTTCTTTAGGCCTCCATTCGGGGACACCCCTGACGCATGCCTGGCCTTAGCTGCTTTCCTTAGTCCACAAGACAAATTCCATATCCTTAACTCTAAAGTCAGAACCACATAGCTGAAGCTGTTGAGTTCTGCTGCTTTCCTGGGCTGGAACATGGCCCCTTTGTTTAATTACATCTTTACTAGCTTTCTGTCTTTCACTGCCTAAGCTGGGCTGTCCTGGAACTTGCTCTGTAGACCAGGCTGGCCTCAAACTCAGAGATCTGCCAGCCTCTGCCTCCCCAGTGCTGGAACTGAAGGAGTGAGCCACCACACCTGGATCTGAGCTTTTCGTTAATGCTTTTTCCCACACTGGAGATTTAGCAAGGTATGATCTTGCCCTGAGGTCGACACTCCCTTTATTCCATTTTAAATTTGCTTTATCTTCTTGAACACAGCACTGACTCCAATACACTTCCTAGTGCTCCTTTTATCCTCAAATTGTTCTACATCTTGTGTTTTCTCTTGCTCAGCCTGCTCCTTTTCCTTACACATCTTCATTAGCACTGACAGTGCAGACAGAGTCTACACTAGTCCATTTTGAGATTTCCTCTGCCGACAGAATTAATCCACAACTCTTCACTTTAGCTTCAGGCACCTTTTTCAGACAAGGGGAAAAAGCAGCCACAACGTACTTATCATCTGGTTTACTACTGTTCTTAAAGATTTTCACATGCTCAGCTCAAACCAGATTCCAGAGTAGATGAAAATGCTTTTGACATCTTTTTGTTAGATTTACTTTTATTTTGCAGGTTGTAGAAAAACCACACAATATTAAAGAGCATAAAATACTGAAACTTTTATTTATGTGGTGCATGAATTTACCACGAACATAGAGCTGAAGTACTGCCATGATTGGCAATTTGATATAATGCTATAAAATTTGCTACATTTCATGATTTTCACAAGAAAAATCTGAGTTTGGTTTGTCCAAACTCATGAACTCTCACATTACATACGCTTTCTGTGCGACAAACATTTTATTCTTATTTTTCTGAACAGCTTCTGAAAGAGTTGTGGTGATCACAGTGGCAACGAATCCCTTTGTCCTCTGCAAGCAGCAGCAGGCTGGCCCGATTCTTTTAACTCTTTTGGGAACGATTATCTTCAACAACAATAGATCTAGCAGGAGCCACTTCCACAAATACATATCGAAATTCAAACTGGCCACTCTGTGGGTCCTGAAAAACACACAGAAGTTGTTACCCTCTCCAGAGCTTAGCAACACTATGCTTGGGCCCACTGCCCCCCTGACCCCTGTGACCCCACGGCCCGAGGCTGGCATACCGCTTCCACTTCTGCGTGCACTGTCCCTTGCTTCCCTGGTTCAGAGCCCTCAATGTAGAATTTCACCCGGATGCGCTTTAGCTCATTTTTTGCATATTCAATAAAACTGTCAAGAAAGCATAAAGATGACATCCAAGTTCCGTGAGCATGAGTTTTCTGTCCCAGCCTACCCCGAAGCCCTGGAGCCCCAAATGAACACACGGATGCTATATTGCTTATAAAACTGTTGGCCGGTGGCATGGACTTCTTATCAGCTAGCTCTGTCTTAATTATTAACCCATTTATATTAGTCTAAATACTTCCACGTGGTCTCATATTACCAGAGAAGGGTCTGGACCTCTAACTCCTTTGTGGTCTCTCATAGCGACTGTCCTCTGCTTACATTTCCCAGAATTCTCCTCTTCTCCTAGTCTTCCCCATCTCCCTGCCTCCCTGACCATAGTGACCACTGACCACAGTAAGAGAAACGTATATACAGGACAACCCTCATCAGATTCCTTTTACTATAAATTTATCCTGGAGTTCTCCCAAGGGCACTGTATTACCTGACATGCTGTCTTCGCCCACGTCTCGTCATCTCCCCGTAGCCTTTAACAGGCTCCCCAAACACGCTGATCACCTGCAGAACAGAGACCATGACTCTTTTCATGACTCCTACACAAATATTTTCTGACAATCAACTGCTACGTTATTTTTTTTTTTTTCACATTCCAAGTGATTTTAGGGAGGAAAAATCAATATGGTGATTCAAACAAGAAAGCTAAGAATAAAAGGGTATAATGTAAAGATCATACTGCAAGTAAGTGAATATCTCATGCACAGGGGCAGAAAATGTTCACTCTGTGTTGTCACTTGTAGCTTTGGAATGATACATGCTGAGGTAAAGCTGTCCCCTCCCTTATAAGAAACAAAATAAACCAAAGTACTGAAGTATTTCTCTACTAACACTCATTTTGGAAGATAAACTGGACAGGCATAGGAGGTGAAATCATTAAGTGTCTTGTATTAAAGCTGGGAGGTAAAAATGAAAAAATGAAATCTTGAAGCCCTGAGCACAGTGAGGGGAAAACATCAGGTAATGGCGGCACTGTTAAACCAGGTGCAAACCTTTTTCCCTGATGAGGAAATTCACTTGATGTGGAAACAGTTTGCACTGGATTTTCTTCCCTTTTTCTTTTTTCCTTTCCTTCCTTTCTTTACTTTTTTTTTTTTTTTTTTTTTCCCTTTTGGTTTTTCGAGACAGGGTTTCTCTGTGGCTTTGGAGCCTGTCCTGGAACTAGCTCTTGTAGATCAGGCTGGTCTCGAACTCAGAGAGATCCGCCTGTCTCTGCCTCCCGAGTGTAGGGATTAAAGGCGTGCGTCACCACAGCCCAGGCACTGCCCTGAATTTTCAAAGCAAATACATTGGAATCCTCTCTAAAAACACAAGGTGAATATCAAGGGAAAATACCATATTGAGTCTCCTTGCTGGGTGTCATCCAGGAAAAGGAAGGTTGTCAGTCACCAGACACCCAAGACCTAACACCCGGAAGAGGGACTGACTGTCAAGGAGTTACCAGGGTAAACCCAGCAGTGTCAGATTAGGATTAACTACTGCAGGCAGGCATGTAGCCTGGCACAAAAGGGACTTAAGTTAAGCAGTTCCGACCAGACGGGCCGGCTGAGGGTTAAGGATCTGCTAGGATGCTGTGACCTCAACAACACCCATTCTTTCATCTGTTCTGTGTGGGTCTATCCGTGCCACCCACCCTCAACATGCCCGAAAGCCTGAGTCTGTGAATACCACTGCACCCAATACAGGCCAGGCGCCTACCGGAGAGCACACAGGGCTCCTTCAATTCCAACTGGCCTGGGCAGAATGGCGACCCCCGCCGCCTGACGAAGTCCCAGCGTTTTAACCCTGCAGACCTCACCTCCCCAGTGCCTTTCACTTTCTTTTTTCAGGGACTCTCAGTACTAACCCTGCCCCTTTGGGAAACTGTGTGGGCTTCGGTAAAAGGGTAAAAATGTCTACAAACAAACACATTAAACAAAATAATTCTGTGGAAAACGACAAAAAAAATCCCATCACCATGAAACCAGGAATTCTGTAGTGCCCTCCTAATTATACCAAGAACAGGAATCTTAGAGATTTACTAGACACACCTCATGGGCAGGATGAAATGCCTACAATACAATTCTGATGCAGAGCCTGAGCCCATTAAAGGCAAGAGTTCAGTTAATTAACTAATTAACATAGAGAAATCAGAACGGTCTGGTATAATATGGAAAGGGTGAGGCTTTAGGGCCCCCACTTTCAGCAGCATTAAGAGGGGAAGCAGCCCATGCAGTCAGACTAAGGAACTGCAGACACCACCAGCCTCTGAAGTATCCACCCTGTCACAGCGGCATTCAACACCCGTGACGAAGGGATGAAGTGACCACGGGCACATGGGAGGAAGACACCCGGAGTGACCTTTGAGTGCCGGGGTCAAAGTGAGTCAGTGAACAAAGACCCAGTGACATAAACGCAACCCCACAGCTCATCACTGTACGATGTCACTGCTTCAGAAGAGACGCATTCCTGCTCCCCAACACCTTCTCACCGGGGACTAACCTCAGGGTGTGTTCTGCATTTTTCTAAGGCTTTCCCGTAGATGATGTTAGGGCTGGATGAAGAAAACAGTTCTTTGAAAATCGTGTACAACAAGCCACCTGAAAAGGCAGAGAGAAAGATGAAGGGCGGCCACAGGGTGGAAGGCCGTGGAGCAGTACTCAGGGACTGGCACTGGCCGGGCTGTGTCACCTGTAACGCTGACTCCGACGAGGACCACTATCAAGTAGGTGAAGTCTCTTCCGGCTTCTTTCACTGGGAAGAGAAAATGTTACAGGTTACAGGTCTGTCCACAGTACCCTGGCCCCTGGGGGCTTTGTGCGTTCCTAGCAGATGGCATGTGGAGCTCAGGGACCAAGGGAGCCTCCTCAGCAGATGATCTCAATGCTTCCCAGCTTCCCAGTTTCAAAAGAATCCCTCACCTAAGTGCCGGCCTGGCCCCGCCTAGCTTCTGAGAGCAGATGAGAACAGGCTCTTCAGCGTGGCATGGCTGTACACAGGGCCTAGCCGTCTCTGTACGGCTTTCACCGGATATCGTAATGTTGATACTACTTCCTTTCTAGTGGCAAAAAACCCTTACCAGTCTCTCAGAGGAGGACAGTCACAGATGAGGTAACGTGGACACGGGTCTACCCTGTCCAGACCACAAACGCCAACTCAGTCAACCCAAAGACAAGGCAGCAAAGGGACCCAAACGGAAGCAACTCTTAATGGTACCACCCCACACGTCCCCACTCACTGGTGCATAAAGTCCTTGAACTGAACTCGGAATCGCAAGGACCAGGATGATCTATGAGTCAAATAAACCTCAGAGGCTGTTATTTTTTCTGTACTAAGTAAGTATATGAACATGTGGATTAAAGTTTGGGGAGCTAAGGTAATTAATCAATCAAGACATCATTATGAGGGAGTATGTATGTTTACACACATTATTTACATAAGTGCATGCTATGTGTGAAAAACTATATTATCACATTGTACTTTTTCATGGATGCTGAGAGCATTTATCTCTTTGGTACATACATAGGTTAGTATCATCACTATTAGGAACCCAGATTTCTCTAACTTCATACCTTAAAAATTTAATTTTCCAGGAAATCAAAATTTTAACAGGGGGCATTTTTCCTCCACATTTTACATATGTTCAGTAGAATACTATAATAAAAGCATGTATTTAGAAGTAGTCTTTACTATAACATATGTTTGGGTGTTAGCACAGATTGCTCACTTGAAATGTGTTCCGGGGCTGGAGAGATGGCTCAGAGGTTAAGAGTATTTGCTGCTCTTGCAGACAAAGGCAGTTCAGTTCCCAGTACCCACACCTGGTGGCTCACAATTGCCTGGAACTACAGCTCCAGAGAGGATGTGACAACCTCAATCTTTCCAGGCTCCCACGTTCACCTACAGACACACACACACACACACACACACACACACACACACACACACACAGAAAAAGAGAGAAAATCTTTTAAAAATAAAATAGAAATATTGCATCTATCAAAAAAATATAATTTACAGTATTGATCTAAATAGTAATTGCTTCATAATCCAATCTCTTTACTAGGCTCGGAGGCTAAGGTCTGCAATGACAATCTCTGTCCCATCATCGATAATCTCATAAACTACCTGTCAATAGACACTATGTGAGACCCCGAACTGAGATGCAGAACAATTAGACTAAGACATAACTATACTTGTTCCTGATTTCCAAATCTGGTCATTGGCCTGGACGCCCCCAAATCCTGTTCCTCCCAATACTCAGTCCTGACAGGAATTTCCTAATTCAAGCACCCATAGCTCCTGTAACATCTATTGTGTGCAAAGGCTGTGACTATTAGGCACACTCGCTAAGTTTTAAAAACTCCTGTTAAATATTACAGTGTAGTGTTTCTCATTCTTCTGACTTTTTTGACGTATTATTCTCACATGAGACCCTCATGGCTTGTGTTTCTGCAGTCCTCTGCCTTTGTTATTGAACGGCAAAAACGCTTTCTCTATTGGTTGACAATAATATCTCTTCCTCTTCATCCACACAATGTAACAACTATGCCAAATCCAGGATCAATTTTCAAAACAATTATAAAGTTGTGAGAACTGCGGGTCGACATTGTTTGGTTGTAAACTATATATTTAAAAGTTCTGTTACTAATTTTCCCCTGTATAATCCCCCTGTCCCATCTTTGGATGTGAGCTCAGTATAAAGTGGCACTGGGCAGGTTCTGCCAGGTTGGCTGGGGAGGCTGGCCTGTGCTGAAGTCCTGTGTATATTTTACCTTTCTGAGACGTGGAGACGGCAGCTTCCCCTCTCTGGTTTCTGTGCACAGACACTTGCTTGCTGCTGTCCTCCTTTGCTTTCTGGGGCTCCGGCCCGTGTGTCCAGAAGGTTTTCTGGGTGAACCCGAGGACGGTCCTAGGATGCACTCTTTTCTTCTGCTCCAGCAGCCCCCATCTCAAAGGCTGGGTCCTCAAGCAAGCTCTGCTGAGCACAGAGTGTGGCAGCAACTGCTTGCCCAGGGTCCCGGGCAGCTTCTCCACACGCTGCACAACTCGTAGGAAAGCACAAAGCATGTTCACAAAAGCCGTGAGGCTTCGGGACTGCAACTCGTGAAGCTCAGCAAGCAATCCGCACACTCGAGCGGACCAGACATGAAATCAACTCACTGACACCGCGTTAGGCGGATGCCAAGATGAAGAGTCTCTAGGAGAAGCTAACGCACACCTCTGCGTCCTTTCTTTTCTCTCTCTCTCTCTCTCTTGAATTAAAAATGCCCTGTTTACCTCACTATTGACATTCACGCCTTGCCCGCCATGCTTTTCGCAAAGCAGCGTGGGAAACCCCGCGCGACCTGGGAACCGCAGTTTTAAGGGCTCCACTTTCTACTGCGCAGCCACGGGAAGAGGGAGGCGGGCTGGACTACATCCCCCACAATGCCAAGCGGGCAGAAAGCCGCAGCCCAATCGCCTCCCCGCGGGCCGCCCGACGCGCGTGCGCCGAGTGTCCTCCGGGCAGGAAGAGGCGGGGATGTTGATGGCCGCCCGGCTTAGGTAGAACTTGCAAACTCGGGCTGGGTGCACGGGGCGCGCTGCCACGGCCCTGCCGTAGAGGGCCGCCGGCCGAGGAGTCCGCAGCCGCGGGGAAGTGGCCATGCCAGCCCTTCCGCTCCCTGCCGACAGCTCGCACACGTAGATGAGCCCGCCGGGCCGCCACAGGCCAACGGACCTGAGCTCTGAACGGCGAAGCCGGCGTCAGGATGACCGGCGCGTGCGGCCCACGCCGCAGCCGGAAGTGCCCGGGACGTCGTCCCTCGGGAGACGGGCGCAGCGGTGTCCGCGGGGTGGCCCGGCCCACGCACGCACGAGCCTGGCCGCGCTGGCGCGCACGCGCGGGCGGCCGCGCCGCGGGAAGGTACTCTCGTGTCTCCATGGCGACCGGACGCGGGCGGATGCTGCGGCCGGGATGTGTGGGCCTCCAGGCGCTGCGCGGGTCCCTTCGCGGTGGCGCCGCCGCCTGGGCCAGCGCGGGGGCGGCCGCGGGGCGGCCCGGGTTCAGGTGACGCTCGGGGCTCGCGGGCGGGTCTCCCTGCGGTTTCCCACCCCCACTGCTCTTTCTAGAATGTTTCCATTGGCCCCACACTCGGGCGTGTGATTCCTGCCTCCTTTTAGAAGAGTCTTTACCGGTTTATTCTTCAGCTACATCCGAACGATGTATTCTGTACCAGGGAGTGTATTTAGCGCTTTAAAATTCATTGCATCCTAAATTTATAAGAATAGCAAGGGTATTTTATTACAGACTTTTTTTTTTTTTTTTTTAACGCTTTTCTAAAACGGCATTTCCATCTTATAGCCAATAAATTGTGTTGTAATTGACCCATCTTTTTAGTGAGGCATGAAACAGTGCACCTTATAATTACATTCGGTGGAGTTTGTATTAGGGTCAGTCTGCAAAGCGAGTGATGCTCACTAGCAGGTTGGAGGGTATCTGAAACAACACCAAGTCACAGTCCGCAGACCCCCAATTTTAGGAAGTACTTCCACTGAGTGCTCCCAGTGGATCCTCAGTGTTTCTTGGAAATGCCTAGAAGCTGCTTCTTTGAGCAGTGTATACCACACATACATCAGTTACCGGTACCCCCACACTATTTAAGGTGCAAAACAGAGTAGTACACATTGCCCATTTCTCATTCACCAATGATAACCACCTCAAGGTCAACCTGGCTCCCAAGATATATTTGGATTAACATTAAAAAAAAAAAAAAAAAAAATGTGATTAGAAGCAAAAAAAAAAAAAAAAAAAAAAAAAAAAGCTGTAAGCTGACATACACAGTCTATACCAAATGGGCCATAAACACAATGCCAACTCTCAAGTCCAAGCACGTCCTCAGTTGACTGGCCAGTGCTGTGGCCTGTTACCTTTGGCCAGGATAGTATACCACGATGTGTGTGTACCAGTAACCATCAACTCCTCCACAAGCCTCCAGTTTGCCGTTCCTCTAGGCTCCTGAGCAGCCTCAGAATGGGGCTTCTCTCCCCTAGATAGCAAGGAGCAGAGTGGCTGGCACACAGGAAGGTCCCCACAAAAAGTAGCTGTAGTCTGCACCCTGTTAGCCTGGAATGAGAGGTTGGATAAACTCCCCCAGAGCCTGGAGGGTAACAGCACACACAGTAGAAACTGCAGACCGCATGAGCCTCTACACTCTAGCTTGAGCAAATGAAGCCCAGTGTGCATTTCATCTCATCTGACTGCAGCTACCAGACATTTGTTCTCAGTCTGATTCTGGACAGCAGAAAGGGAAGGAAGAGAGGGTAAGAGGCGTATATCTGAAAAGCCTGAGACTGTTACCGTAGTCCCTCTAATCAGAAAACCCTAACTCTATCATACCTTTTTATACTTCTGTTGAAACTTTGTGTTTAAATGAAGGTGTTTACAGCAGAAAAGCTTCAAGCCTGTTTACCTGGCCCTCACACAAAAATTCAGAAGCAAAGAATAATGCCTAGGTATTATTAGTTTCCTAGGATCAGCCTAACAATGAACTGCAAAACGCAGGGTTTCCAAAACCAGAAATATATTGGGAGCCAGGTGGTGGTAGTGAATGCTTTTAATCCTCACCTGGGAGGCAGAGGAAAGCTGATCTCTGCGAAGTTAAAGCTAATCTGGTCTACAGAACAAGTTCCAGGACAGGCTCTAAAGCTATACAGAGAAACCCTGTCTTGAAAAACAAAAACAAACAAACAAACAAAACAAAACAACACAATAAACAAAAAGCCAAAACCCCCAAAGCAAAATAATAATAAAAAAACAAAAAGCAAAACAAACAAACAAACAAACAAAACCCAAACCAAACCAACAACAAACTATTGAATTGCTGGTGACCCGCAGAGGTCAGGACTTGAGAATGGTAGATGTAGCAGGACATAAAAAGATGTGCCAGACAGCAGTATGAATCTTTTTCCTGGGCCTCTGGGAATATGTTATTTGTTAGTGTGTTCGGGAGGCAGTCTACAGGAGAGAATATGTGCATTTCTCTCCTCACAGGACCCCAGAGTTTATTTTTATATCTTAAAACAATGAGTACATCGATCTATATTTGCATTTCAAAAATATCTAAAATGTGACTTTTTCCAACATGAACCAAGACATCCTTGAAAAGTCATAATCATATATATAATTCAGTGATCACAGATCCTGGAGCAAGTAGACAAAGTTTAACTAAGCCGATGAGGAAAGGCCTATAACTTCCTCGTGGTCACTTTTGCCAGATGATTTTGAATCCAAAGGGCCAATTCTTATAATAAGCAAAGCAAAAATTCATATCAAATTGTACTATAATCTATTTTAAGCCTATATATATATATATCCTTATTTATATATCAAGTATAATTTCTGCAACATTACTATTTTATTTTTATAATCTTCTAATGATCAACATAATGTAAAGTCATACTTTTTTGATTCTGAGTTCCCAAATTTGCAGTTTATCTATAAAAGCATTATATATGTATGTGTGTGTGTGTGTGTGTGTGTGTGTGTGTGTGTGTGTATAGACACACACACACATATATATTTCAAATATGTAGTTTTATAATTTTCAGTAAGTTTATTCATTTTAATTTTTTCCCCAAACCATGTCAGACCATCAAATTTTTGAGGGCTAAAGGGAACCAGTCAGTGAATACAAAGACCACCATACAGTTGGTTTTAGTCTTAAGTAACAAAACTAAACAAGGAAGTGGGGCTGTATCCACTAAACCAGAAACTGGAGCTCTGTCATGCAGTTTCTTTAGCCAAGCAACAACAATGCAGTCTCAAATGATTTGAAATTACTTGTCATTATTCTTATAAAGTGTATATTGACATATATATATATATATATATATACATACACCATGGCTGTGTAGAGGTTTGATCCAAGAAGTCTAAGGTTTCATACATACATTAAGCACTGAATGAAAACTAAGTACATTCTCACCCCCTCCCCCCACACACACACACTTCTTTTCAATATAAACAAACCCTGTTGTGGTAAGTCAAGTATAAACTTACCTAAAAAGCGTTATGATATTGATAACAGTGTCTTGCCACTGCATATTTTTTTTTTTTTCAATCAAGAGAGGCCATACTGGCTGCTGAGATGGCCCAGGGTTTTAGAGTGGGTATTGTACATACAGAGAACTCAAGTTTGGTTCCTAGCACCTACACCAGGCAGCTGACAACTGCCCGAATTTCAGTTCCAGAGCCTAGGGTCCCTGGCACATATCAGCACCTGTACTTAGGTGCCTGAAACCACACACGCACACGCACACACACACACACCCCAGACATAGCTCTACATACACAAATAATTAAAAAAATTGAAAAGATAGAAAATAAACAGGACTATCTATGTAAGAGAACAAATAAAAATTGTATGGTATATAAACTTAAACCTATCAGGAACAAAACGTGCTAAGGCTTCCTGCTCACCATGTTACAGAGAAGCTGACCTCTGAATATATCTGAATATGGTTAGATTTAATTGTCAGCTTGACATATCCTAAAACCACCTGAGAAGGGAATCTCAGATCAGATTGGCCTCAGGGCATGGCTATGAGCGACTGTCTTGACAGTTGGTTGATGGAGGAGGGCCCAGCCCATTGTGGGGTCCCCAGTCACTGGGCATATGGTCCTGGGATGTGCAAAGCCGGGTAAGGGTGAGGCTGTGCACGAGCCGCCAAGCAGCGTTGCTCCATGGATTGTACTGCCAAGCTCCTGTTTAGGTGCCTGCTCTCTCACTGATGGACTCCAGCCTGTGACAAGCCCCTTCTCTAAACTGTTTTTGGGTGGAGCGTTTTGTTGCAGCAGTATAGTGAACCTGGAACGGCATTTTTATCGTTTTCCCTTTGTTTCTCCTAGGCGCATTTGGAGTGCCCCTCTCGTAGGCTGGCAGTGTGTCATGAGCACAGGCACTGCTTTAGTGTAGGCTTTATGTTTATTTTCCTACTGCACACTTGATTTGAACCCTTCCGTTCCCCTCCATCCCTCTACTCTTTTCCCCTTCTCTCTTTACTTCAGAGATGCAGTTTCTTTCACATTGAACAATCTCCGGAGTTTATTGGTTCTTTATTGTATGGGGCAGCAGGAGATCCACCCCATTTGGTAATTATGTAACCCGAGTTTCTCACTTTTACTTTTAGGAAGGGTGCTGGGGTTAAATTTGCTAGAGGCCCGCCCGTCTTAAAGCAGTATACCAGGCATGGCCAACACAAGGAGAAGTCTCCCATCTGTCTTGTATGCCTGGACAGGTACGCAGCCTGCCTCTCAGGGGGAAGGGGGTGTGAGTGTGGGGAGGGGGTGTGAGTGTGGGGGAGGGGTGTGAGTGTGGGGGGAGGGGGTGTGAGTGTGGGGGAGGGGTGGGCTGGACAGGTATGTAGCCTGCCTCTCAAGGGGGGGTGTGAGTGTGGGGGAGGGGGTGGGCTGGACAGGTACGTAGCCTGCCTCTCAGGGGGGAGGGGGTGTGAGTGTGGGGGAGGGGATGTGAGTGTGGGGGAGGGGGTGTGAGTGTGGGAGGGGTGGGCTGGACAGGTACGTAGCCTGCCTCTCAGGGGGGAGGGGGGTGTGAGTGTGTGGGGGGTGGGCTTTAGGCAAGGGTTTTTAGAGAGCATTATGGTGTAGCATATACCAAGTTGCTATTTTGAGCTTTCTAAGAATAAGATTGTGTAGGAAGAATGTACAACACAGAGAGTTTGACATGAGTCATGAGCCTGTCACTATTATCCCTATTAGACTAGTTTTATGAAACTAAACTTCTAAAGGTGACAAGTACATTGAATTTTCCTTCTATTAAATTGTTCTTCCTAATTATTCACTCCTCAGTAGACAAAGACCCATGGGAAAACAAAAGAAGAGCATGCTTCTTCTGAAGTTGCACAAGCCAGGAGCCTATGGGATTTTTTTTTTTTTTTTTTTTTTTTTTAGATCAGTGGTTTGGAACTCTTCGTCACAGAGAGATCTTTGCCTTGACCATTGGAACCGAAATGCATTCATTCTTTAAAAAACATTGTGAACTGATGTTAACGTGCCTATAGATGTGTGTTGTAACACCATTATGGGATACATTGATGTAACTAGCATACCTTGGAATTCTGCCATGTTGGTGTTTTCATGGACAGACATGCAAAGCCTGGAGACCCTGTGCATAGCAAAACTAATTCACAATTGGACATTTAACCCTGTGTCATACTTAGTCCAGTCAACAGTACCATATTTTATGTGCATATTTTAGTATGTTTTTACACATAGAAGTAATTAAGGACTCCAGTTACATTTAAAACCCTTTAATCTGGGAACAGGATCTGTCACACAATAATCTGACGCTGTACCAGATGCTGAGGGACACATGGTGAGCCTTTACATGTATTTCCTAGAAGCTGTTGGCCTAGTGAGGGATATTTTTTTTTTAAGTGAAAAATCTTAAATTGGAGTGCATGCTGTCAAGAAAATGAGTGAATTCCATACTGCAGAATTATAAAATCAGGTGACATTGAAGATGGAAAGTGAAGGTTGAGATTAAAGAGCTTGGAGAAGACTGTACTGGAGTGGGAACACAGAGGTGCAGAGGCAGGGTTTCTGTAGGAGAGACCCTGGGTAGCCAGCGTGTTGGGAAAGGCACAGACTCCCATGTTCTGGGAGAGTCAGTTGGTTAGCTTGTCTGATTGTCTCCCTCCTCTCTCAGAATGCCCACCGAAGTCTTGCTGAATATATTTTCCTACTTGGATGCTGTGAGCTTGCTGTGCACGGGATGTGTGAGCAGACGCCTTTATCACTTGGCCAGTGACAAGTAAGGAGACTACCGTGTCTGTCTGTTATATGTGAGGATAGAAGTTTTGAAAATCAGTAGGCATTTTAGCCACTTCCTAAAAAATTAAGAGAATTAATCTTAATACTTATTATTTTCGGACAATAGCATGTCTAATGCTGTATGTAGTCATGTATTTTCAAGCATTTGCATTTATGAGTGTAAGATATGGAATATTCTTTGCATCTGCTGAAGATAAAGCCTATTCCTATTGGGTCTGTAGAATAAAACTTTGGTGTGGGTTCAGGGGTCCAGGGCGTGATAGATTCATTCCCTCACAGAGCTTTTCACCTGGTCCTGGGTTCTTGGGCCGGTGGTTTGCTCCCTGCTGGTGGTCATGCAGACCATTGAGAAAGAAGTGACAGGGATCCCTGTTAAATTGACTTAGCTCTTCCTCCCAAATCTTCCAATCAGATATCCTTGCTATATGTGGACAGTGAGCGGGGAGAGAGAGCCAGCGTGTGCAGACCTTCTCTTGGGGACCAGGGAGTTCCCTCAGTTAGGATCTGGAGCATCTATGAATTAAGAGAAGCCACTGCTTCTATTTTTCATTGTGATCTTGGCCTGCACCTAGAACTTCATCTTGTGTAGAGAGAGATAGAGTCTGCCTAGTATCTACTGAGCGTTTTGTACCCACTTCTTGGCCTTTTGGGGTTCTCTTACTCAGTATCAAAGACCATGCAAATACTGATTCTGTGTCGAATCTGCAGGTTGCAAACTTGCAGATTGCTAGGAAAAGCATCCAGAAAAAGGAATGCAGTTTTGATTTGGGAGATAAGGGTTTGGAGAATGACAGATAGGCTGCAGTGTTTGTGTTCTTGGAGCATGGTAGGCAGGAAACATTCTCAGACACTAGTCCATGGAAGACAGTGTCACAGTCAGCTGGGAAAATGCAAAACTTTGGATTCCCATTCTGCGTTTGTGAAGATTTTAATTCAGTGCATTGGAAGATTATAATTGAGTGGTCTAGAATCCATATTTTAACAGTTCTTCCAGGTCATAGTAAGGAAAACTCTAGTCCTGAAATGACTGGTCTGCCACATCCTTGATGCTCTTGTGTTCGCCCTTGGCGTGAGGAGCCCACAGGACATCCTCCGATGTCATTACGGCTGTGCTCCCCTGTCCCCTGTTCCCACACTCCAAAGGGAACATGCATGGCTCTAGTAGAGAAGGCAGCGTCTTGTCTTTTAATTTTAAAAGGTGCAAGAAATTACTTTGTGAGATAGTATATATTTTATCTGTATCAACTAGTGGATAGCATTTGGCAATAATTTTGGAATGAATGTAGATCATCTTTAGGTCATTACAATGTGTGTGTATATGCACCAGTCTAGACTGCAGTTATTGTCATCTGTTACACATTGGGATAGAAACAGTAGTTACCTCATGTGTGTATTGGAAGTACTAAGTGAGTTTATGTATGTGAATTGCTTAAGTAGCAATTGGCATTTGTGCTCAGGAAAACCTAATGGTTGCTGTTATATTTTAATGACTTTACTATTTTATGTTTTTTGAAATTGGGGCATGTTCACTGTTAGAAATTTAAAGATAGGAAGCAAAATGAATGTATGATGTATTACTCATCGTTGTGTATTTGTGTATAGTGCTTATGTATGTTCATACCCACAATAAGACCAAAGTCACCCTTTGTATACACCTGTGATTTTTTTTTCTAAGATTGAACTCCTACTCGGTTATTTTGCAGAAAGAATATTTGGATGATCCCACATAACATGAAATTCTTAACTTAAACCTTACTCTAGAATAGGCTTTTGCCTTTTTTTATGTGCTTTTGGGGATAGTGGGTCTAAAACATTTCATTCCAGACTGTGGCCCACTGTACCCATGGAGACAGGCATAAATTATTCACAGAATTGGCCTATTTGAATTAAAAATTATTGTGTGTCTCTCATGTGATACATTGCCTCCAGATTGCTGTATTTTATCATCCCTTTCTTCCAGTCTTATTTGGATCAAAATCTACTCAGCTGCCTTCTCACCGAGAAGGCCACACTGGAAAGTCAATTCAGTGGAGGAGACAGCTACGTCTGTGAGTCTCCTGTCAGTTGAGGATAAAGAAGCTGGGCACTGGAAGAAAGAATATATTACGAAGCAGATCTCGTGTGTGAAAGAAGCATTAGCCCAAATTGTCAAACCTGTCAACTCCTACACAGGTCTTCCTGTGAAAATAAAAGAGGCTCTCAGGTGTGTATAGGCTGCCGATAGTCATGCTCCTGGACAGGACCACGGAATCTTCTGGTTTCTAACCGGATGTTGTCATATTTAGGTGTTTTAGATATATAGTGGATAGGCAGGTTTTATCCTATTTTATTTTTTTATGTAGCTTGCAGGCCTAAGGATTGAAGGTAGACCCTTACACACGCTAGGGAAATGGGTACCACGAGCTGCACTCCTGGACTAGATGAGCAGTTCATGTTACAGGGGATTGTCTCTGATTGGCTTTTCTTTATGTGGGTTTTTGTGTCTATTAATATATATTTTGATATTGGCTTCATTTATATAAACAGAAGAAACAGCCTCATGATGTGGAGTAGAGCCAGGGTGTTGAAGGTGTCTTTCCATTGTCTGAACTGCCAGTCATGGAAAGTCACAGATACTCAGGGAGGACTTGCTGGAGGTGAAGAGGCTTGAAAGGTGCTGTGGGTGAAATGAAAGCATGTCAGGAGGGTGCCAACGATGGAAATGATATAGGAGGTGTGTGCGTGTGTGTGTGTGTGTGCGTGTGTACATGCGTGTGTGCATGAATGTGTGTGTGTGTGCACATTTGTGTGTGTCTGCGTGCGTGTGTGCAAATATGCATGGGTATGTGCGTGCATGTGTGCGCGTGCTTGTGTGTATAGAGTTCTTTCTTTGAAAGCATTTTGAGCTTGCTTTTCTTCCTCTAGAGTTTTCGGCCTACATTTTGCAATTATATTAAGAGAAAAGAGTGGAAAAGAACACATCGTGCAGCACGTTGATCTTTCCTTCAATGACACATCTGTCACCGTTGTGTGGTATGACAAAAATTGGCCACATCTGACCACGTTGTCCACCCTGGAGCTGTGTGGTGTGACGCCAGTTTTTGCTGACCGGTATAAACCCTTTGACCCCCGTGGGTAAGTACTAATTCAGCAGCACATTGGGGAGGACTCCCGGGACCGGAGTGTTAATAGTCATTCCTCTGTAACTCACAAATACCACTAGTGGGTGTCCATTTGACTGAAAGTCAGAGACCTCCCGGTCATTCTGCATTGCTGTGGAACAGAAGACACCGTGCTTGTCACATTGAGGTCCATGTTAAAATGTCTTGAATCTTCTAATAGTAAAGTTTTTTTTTAGATGGCGTGTGGCTGGCTTTTCTACATTTTTACTTTTAGCTGTTTTAATAAGCAATACAAAATTAACATGTTCTTCATTAGTTATATATTAATTTTAGTTTACTTTATAAATGCAATTATCACTTATTTTGTGTGTTTCTTTTTTTCTCTTGAATTTACTAACATGTGACCATGTGCACTTGATTCTGCATTCACCTTCCCATCTGTACACTGGTGGGATGCTGATGTCCTTTAAGGTGATGATGAAGAGACTTAGCTGTGAAGTCCATAGGTCAGATGAGTGCTCATACAGAACACATAGCCTGCTGTTGGGTGGCTTTGCCCCAAGTCCATGCACACCGAAAGGCTCACAGCTGCTTCCCCCAGCAAATCCCACCCCACCAGTGAGCATGTCCTGTGATAGCGGGACTGCAGCAGGGTTGGATGCTCACGGGCCACGCAGGCTAGCGAGTTTTGTATCAGATCTGTTGCGGTATACGGTCATGTTTCTTCGACGTAACTGTCATGCTGCTGTCTGCCCCAACCCGTTGATTTTGCAGCAGTGTTCTCTGCATCGATTTTGTGACCGTCTTGGCTTACTGTGGTTCTTCCCATGGGCCCCTCTCTTCTCTGTCCCTGTGAAGGATGGTGTTGTCTCAGGGTTGCCCTGGGGTGGGCCTGCTCTCGGCCCCTCTGAGGCGCCAGCTCAGTCACTGCTTAGTGATCTTATTCAGACCTCTCACTGCTCCCCGTGCGTGCTTGGCATGTTCTGAAAACATCAGTGTAAAACAGGGATGATTTCCCCCAATTAGATTACTAGATAAATTTTGACAACACAGTTAATTTGGACAAATCTGAAATTTGTATGACGAACTTCCAAGTTTTTCTAATATAGTAGGTAAGTTGTTACATTCTGAAATTATGTTTGGACTCTATAAACTACACTGTTTTGATCTGTTACTTTGTATATCAGGGATCATTGTTTTTAGGTACTGGTACAAATTAATTAACATTAGTTAAAATATCTCGGAAGACTATGGGTTACAGATTACATGTTACGTTGAATTGTAGAAGTCACAAGTATGTGTGTTTCCAGAAATTGCCACCAAGGCCAGGTATACTAGTTACTACATGGTGATGAATGCTGGGATTCATTGGGGGAATGAATCTAGTGTAATTAATGTCCACTTAAACTCTGGACTAGCCTTTCACTGGCAGTGGTAAGCAGAGCTGAAGGTGTGTCTCAGCAATGTGCTTTGGTGGGCCTCTCTCCACAGTTTGTAGGCCAGTGACTTCAGCCTGAGGGGGACAGGTCTTTGCTGTGTCTTTGTGAGAGCCAGGAGAGACTGTACCTTCTTCACTTAAGCTTGCATTGTTTCTGTTGTGAAGTGTTTCTGGGAATATCAAAAGTGCTCATGGTGTTATTTTCAGGTAGTTTCCCTGTAGCTTAGACCTTTCTAGATGGACTCTGTGGTCAGTTCATGTACCCCATGCGCCCTCCAAGTTTGTGGGGATGATTGTATAATGTTCCCAGAGGCCCCAGTGGCTGTGGCTGTGGCTCGTAAAGCTAAGGTGGATGGGTTTTGATTGTCCCCGGAGTCTGTTGGGTATTTGGGTAGCTATACGCGAGACTGCTTCCCAGCTGTGGTGCATTGAAGAGGAAGGCGAGAGGCTTTCTGCCCTCTCCACCAGCTGCCTCTTTCTGTCTTGACCATGGCTACAACAATGGTTGGCAGCTACTGAGCATCGGTAGATGTGTTGTGCTATTGTGGTATTTTTTCTTTGAATTGTCTGGCCTTCCCTGCGAGCAGTGTTCTCAATTGTTGGGACCCAGTCTGTGATGCTGTGATGTCATTGTCAGCTGGAGCTGAGGTTTCTTGAGATTATACTTAGGTCACCGGCCCTGTGTTCACCATGCTCCAGCCATATTCCTCACGTGCTGAGTCTGCCACCCAGTTACTGTGCTCAGCATCACATTCCGTATGAACACAGTGCTAGAGCCTGCCCACGAGAGCTGCAGTTCGGGTGTGCTGCCTCACAGCCCTCCTCTGCTTTGGAGCAGTGCCCCTCCCACATGACCCTGCCTTGTTTCCTCAGAATCTGTAGTGTTTATCACCTGTAATCTGAGTACCAGTTCCCGGAAGTTAATTCCACGTGCTGTAGGGACTGTGGCCTGAGGCTCTGTTGACCAGCCACTGAGACCTCAGCTCCTCTCCCAATTTCCGTAGCCACACTCATTGTCTGCCCTGCATTGTGCCTGTAGATACCAGTCCCTGTGGAGGGTGGGATAGAGTGAAGGCTTCTCCTACACAGCTGGGTATTTACTGTTGGGCACTGACACTGAGAATCCTGTGTGGCTCTCTCACAAAAGCACTCATGACTTCAGCTTAGGTTTGCTTTTCATGTTTCAGTTTTCACTGTTGTTTCTCAGATCCACCTGATAAAAACTTTGGGGAAGCCACATCTGCTCTCAGAGGAAGAGCAAGAGGGTGGAGACGAAAAACACAGTAGGGTAAGAGACTTGGTGTGTTCGCCTCTTAGTTGTACAAAGTTCCATAATTATGTCACTCGGTTTGAGCATGTTAGTGTGTATAGATTGCTCTTCAAAGTATTTTTAGTTACACTAATGAGTCTTGACAAGAAGACATATTGGAAAGTTCACATCCCTCTCTCTTCTCTCTTGGCATGGTGTTCCAAGACCACGATGGCTGTCTTTAATTGCAAAGTATGATCTGAGTCACTTAAGCAAGGCTGCCATGGTTGGCTGTGATAGACTTGTCCGGGCGTTCTGTCTAAATCCTGGACTCCTGGTGGGGCTATGGCAGGTAAGATGGAGTTCGTACACAGACCGTGTCACCCCTTCACAGTCCTGTGTTTGCACACTGACATACTTAAGATCATGCACAGAGTATGTAGTTCCCCTTCACAGTCCCGTGTTTGTACACTGACATATGTAAGATGGAGTTCATGGACAGCCTATGCCGCTTGTGCAGTCATTTCTAAGACAGATTGTCTGACAGTAAACTTACTGATGTTCTGACTCTTACCCCTCTCCTGCAGTGTTCCCTGGGCTGTAGATGCGAGAGGTGTGATGTAAATGTTTCCATTGGGATTGAGCTCCAGACCACCATTGTGTCCAGCTGTGGGTTTTTGTAATGGTCTCTGTTTGCTGTAAAGGGAAGCATGCTTGATGAGGGGTGGTAGCTACATTTAGTTATGGTTGTCAGGATAAGATTGAGAATGTCGTAGGGAATTATGCTGGTCTCGCAGCAGATTCTTTTGTGAGGCCCAGGACCCTGCTAGCCCTAAGAAGGTGGCCAGGTTTCTGTGCAGGCAGCGTTTCCCTGCTGTGGATGGGCCTTGGTTTCTGTGCAGGCAGCGTTTCCCTGCTGTGGATGGGCCTTGGTTTCTGTGCAGGCAGCGTTTCCCTCTGGGGATGGGCCTTGGTTTCTGTGCGCCCCCTCTGTGGTGGGCCTGGTCGGCGGCGCTTTCCCTCTGTGGATGGGCTTTGGTGTAAGTCCAGTTTGGTGCCACCTGCATGTGAGTTCCACTTGCTCGCACCTTTATAAACACCTTACGGTGCTGGTCATTGCTGTGATTTGTAGATGCTGCAGCTGAGTACGACTGTTAGCATCTCTTCCTTGGCAGCTTGCATAGTATTTTCTGGCACCACAGAAGCTAGATCACAGGTAAGAGGCTTTGAGGTCAGGTCAGCTGGGATCACCCGAGCCATTCTGAACCCTGTGTGTGTCTTAAGTGTGCAGTGTATTCAGTAGTAGGGGTTTATAAACTTGAGAGGCAAGCAAGGCAACGGCGATAGTCTATAGTGACTTATATCTCCTTGACCAACCGTTCAAAAGAAGGGTTCTAATGGGGTCAAATCTGGACAGTCATTCAGTACATTGCAGGAAAGTGTGCTTCATCTCTGCGTCCACACTTGTTTAGTTTTGTGGCTTTGGCTCTAGGCTCTCTAATGAGAGCATTTCACAGGTTGGTGAGAGTAGCGTTGTGCCTCTGTGGACAGTGATGGGGCGAATCACGTGTCAGTTTTCTGCAGCATCATCCTCTTGCATTTTTTACCAGCTGGCCGAGGCGGTCATTATTCCTTTCCTTTTTGCCCTGTGTGTGTGTGCTTAGAGGATGAAGCAGCAGTTTGCTCATGCATTTTATGACTTAAAAGTTTTGGATCCTTTTTGTTCTAGAATTATGAGGACTGTCTGAACTGTTCAGAGAATGGTCCCTTCAGGCTTATTATTCAGGAATAGCTACAGCAGTAAGCATAAGTTCCCCCACAGCCACATCTTCTGCCAGTTGAGCCGCTGGGCAGGTGAAGAAGTGAAATTAGTCATTTCTACTGCATCTGCCCAACTGAGCAGTTGTTTGGAAAAGGAGCATGGTTCTAGTTTGATCTCTGTTGCTGTGATAAACAGCACGACCAAAAGAAGCTTGGGTGAGGAAAGGGTTTATTTATTTCATCTTACAATCCATCATTGAGGGAAATCAGAGCAGGAAGTCAAGTCGGGTACTAGGCAGCAGGAGCTGTGGTTACTGTCTGGCCTCTGCTCAGCCGGCTGTCGTAGACAGTCGAGAACCTCATGCCTAGAGATGCTGGCCCTCCTCCATCAATTAGAAATCAAGAAAATGGCTCACGGGCAGGTCACATCCAAACAGTACCTCAGTTGGGAACCTTGGATATTTCTAGGATGTATCAAGTTGACAGCTGAAGCTGTCAGAACATTATCCAGTGATGCTCAGTATTTGTGAAGTTTTCCAGACATCTGCAGGTCCTTATCAGATTGTCTTTATCTTCGAAAAGAGTTTTAAATTATGCCTTTCTTTTTCTTACACACACACACACACACACACCACACACACACACACACACACACATGCACACATGCACACGTACACCGGAAGTATACATGTAAATGGCATGGAAATCATTGTATGCAATAGAACATTTTGCTATCTCACAAGTGTAGGACATTAATTCTTTTGGAACTACATTTCTGCATATTGAGTGAATCATGGTCCAGCTCTCAGTATTGTATGCAGGCCTTTTGGTAACACCTTGTTAGCAATAACAAAGCATGTATCTTCAAGATGATAAATGGATTTTAAAAATGAACTTGTGAAAAATTAAAATACGTCTACTGAAAACTATGTTCTTTGAAATTGACTTTTCAGAAGGATGATGGACTGGCTTTTGTCATGGCAAATCTTCATTTTCATCGCCTTGTGGAGAGAAGCACATTAGGCTCAACCATGCTGTACGTATCTGTATGTGGGTGAATTGGAGTTTTGTATGGTAAGGATAGAGGGTTAGAAGGCAGTTCCATCTTAAAATTCTTACAGTAGCTGTAAAAGTATTCTGTAGCCGGTAGACACAAGACAACAGATCTGACTGACCACTCAGCAATGTGTTATTATTGCTAACATAATTGTGTTATTTATGAATATGTATCTGCTCGATTTATTCTAGTGTAAGGATTTTATACCTGGTAGAGTATTATAAAGGCAGGAGTGCTCTGTTCTGATAGCATGTCTCCCTTCTCCCCTAAGTTATCATACTTAATAATGTGAAGTTTTGAACTTTGAAACGTGCAGGCCTTTGTCCCTCTCGTCAACTCTGTTCTGTCTCTGTGAGCATCTTCTAATCTGTCAGCCTGTGGTTAGGTGCGGAGGAATGTTTTCTGTCTTCCTGCAGCTTTCCCCTTGGTCCTTCCCTTATTCACTTTTTTAGTATTTGTACAGCTTCTGGGTGCTTTTAAGTATGTTGCCTTCTGTGGTGAGGTTTTCCTTAACTGAAACAATTGGTTGGTTCTAGCTTGAGTCTTTTCCTGACTCCCTGGCCTGTGGGTCTGTGTTGGTGGCCCTGTCTTTGGCCACTGAGAACAGAGGGCGGGTGGCCTTCGTAGACCTCCTCGTGTGGGGTAGATCTCCATCACAGTCGCTGTGCTGGTCTGACGGCTGCCCATGGGACCGTATCTGTGCCGATTGTTTTAGAAGTTGGTGAGCACAACACGGAACAGATCTTTGCGGTTCACGGCGTGGAGGTTATCAGGGTGCCCGTAGCATGCCATTGGTGGGAGGTAGTGTTTTGCACAGATAATAATTTTTAGGAGTATGATCCAGGCAGGTATTGTGTCTGTGATGCTGACAGATTTGTGTATGTCTGGATTTGCTTTCAGCCCTTATGTGCCGCCGCATCCTCAGGGTCCCTTTGTGGACGACAGCCCGGACTATGGGCTGCAAGGCTACCAGCTGCACATCGACATGCATGGCGGCGGGACTTTCTACCTGTGCAGCACGCTCTACACTCTCTTCTCCAGCAAAGGTGACGTGACGCTAACTTTGTTTCCAGGATTGGTGGGTGGCAGAGAGGAGGAACCACTCATATCCAGGTTATGAGTCACCTTCCTGCTGGTCCTTTACAGCCTGTCAGCCCGGCTGTGCTCCCTGGCCCTTGTCTGCTTAGGACTTGTGAAGCTCTGTCCCTGTCCCTGTCCCCACACTCCCTCAGCTCTACAGGAGGCTTGCCTCCTCTTTTCTGCCAGTATTCCCGGCTGTTTTCCGTGACTTCCAAGTCTTCCCTCTCCCCTGGAATTTGGTAAATGTGGCTACAGGGTGAATGCTACAGCCTTGCAGGGTGAGACTAAAGAGAAAACAGTTTTTCTCATATTTGCACTACCTCAGGGTTTACCATTTGCCACACTCTCCAGAACTGAGAAACGGGCCGGGGCAAGCTCAAGCTCAGATCGCATGCCCTGCTCTGGTCCACCTGCCTGTTTCCTTTTGGGATTGTTTTATGAATTCTTAAACTTGAGTGTGCTGTAGATCTGCTTTTGGTGAGTGTATTTTACAGAGGGGAATGTAACTTCAATCTGTATCATGTTACAAGGCATGCCCTGTCAGGCTGTCCTGCAGTAATGCATGCAGGACAGATTCAGGGCATCAATGCGCCCCCTCTTCATGCCGTTCCACTAAGAGTCAGGAGAGGGAGCTGCTGCCATCAGAGTCTAATGTCTTTTAAAAGTACGAATGGCTCGTCCTTTACAGTGTTTGAGTAACTCTCTTGGGACCCTGTGGTGTATTTAGTAAATTTCAGCTATGTCATTGCAGTTCAGGATGACAGAACTTTATCCCTATTTTTTTTTTTTAAACTCTTTGTCCCCATCAAGGATGAAATGTTTTATCATCATCATGTCCCTGGAATTTAGGTTGCTCTATGCGCCATCCATCCTCACCGAGACACGAGAAGCCTGGCCTGGCACTAATGAGACAGCCTCAGTGGAAACACTGTGGCCTCACAGAGTCATGGCCAGCCTGTTTGGTCCTTCATTAACAGATAGTGACAGAATTCAAGGATGCGCCATCCCGGGAATAGACAAAACCCTTGCATTTAAACAGTGAGGCCCAGAGCTTGCTGAGCTAGGTCCTTATACACAGTACACACTGAGAAGTGACACCAGGTACACTTGGGTGATTTTCTGGAGTGCCAAGGGAGAAACATGTGACAGTTGGTCACGGGTTCTAGACTAGCATGTATTCAATATCTAGATTACTGTAGCAGGGGGAGGGTTCGGTGAACTAGAACACACACCGACAGAGCCCGAGCCTGGTTATTTTGTAGGGCTGCTTGTACAGTCATGTGTGCACCAGTTTCATCCGTCAATTGATTGACATTGTTTGTTTAAAACTCTCAATGGGAACTGTAAAAACGTGCAGAACCGACTCTGAAATACATTTGGAGGGGTTAGGATGTAGCTCAGCGGTAGAGCTCCTGCCTACCGTAAGAGCTCAGGCTCCATTTCCAGCAGCGCAGATGGACAGGTAGGTGGGTTGTAGATGGGTCGGTAAGTAGGTAATAGATGAGGGAGTTTGTGGGAAAATGAGTAGAGGGATGGCTGTAACACTTGGATTTAAAATGTTGATTTTAAATGAGTATTGGAATCTTTTCTGTGCACGCCGTGTGTCCAGGCCTTAGACAACGATTAGATAATAATCAGGGAGTCGGGACAACACGTAAGAAATAGACTGTTGCCATGACCCCTGGCCCTTGTGTGGTCCTTGCTGCTGCCGTCTGTCTCCCTTCTGCCGCAGGGAGCCACCATTCTGTACTGAGCTAATGGCTCCCTTTCTCTTTTTGAACTTGCTTGTCTTGTGAACTGATAACAGCAAACAGACCCTCACTCATCGATGTTAAAGACACATGAGATCACTGAAGAGGTGAGACCAGAGCGGGCCGGGTACCGCTGCCTGTCTTTAGAACCCAGAGCCGGGTACCGCTCCCCGTCTTTAGAACCCAGAGCCGGGTACCGCTGCCCGTCTTTAGAACCCAGAGCCGCCCTTCTCTTCTAAGCCACCGAGTTATAGCTGATAAACATACTTACAGAAGCATAGCTACCACGTTTTACCTAAGTATAACCTGGCACATCTTTATATCTAGGTGTATCCTCATCCTGTAGAATATATTATTTTTTGAAAGTTTTGGTATAGAATGGATTGTGTAGAATAATTTGCAAATAACCAGCAAAAAGGGTTTCTAGAGTTGAATATATAGGGGATGCAAATCCTCAAAGTGTTTATTAATATATTCATTTCAGAGGGAAAAGTTCTAATGAAGTATTCGGAATAAGTTCTGAGAGCCTGATGAAGGCTGCCTCTTGGTCACAATTTTTTCACTTTGTAAATCATTTCATGTATTTTGCTAAAGGTTCTTTGAAGATTCTGTTTTTCAACACAGGCTGCTAAAAGCAAATCAGAACTCTCTAGTGGCTCTTGATGCTTGGGGTGAGATTCTTGCATCACAGTGGGTGAGGGTAACTGTGGAGTTGGCTCAGTGATGACTGCTCTGGGGTAGGCATGGCCTCACTTCTCATGAAACAGCCTACAGATTGTCCATGCCTAGCCTTGCCATTGTCACCCACTTTAGATGCAAACAGATGCTGCTAGGCTGTTCATTCCTGTCTGTTGTGGATCCAGCTCCGAGCCATGAACACCAATCCGGATTTGCTGTCCTCTCTTTACTGCTCTTTTAGATGAATGTGTGTTCTATTCTGCAAGGTCAGGAGGTATGTTAAGTCGTATGATTTCATGTGCCCGGTTCTAGACAGTACTGCCCATAGTAAGGAACTGTTTGGGATAGGTTTTGCTACCTCTCAGCTCGACTTGGTATGCACTCACAATGATTTCAGTCATTTCTTCTTTCTCTCTCTCTCTCTTTTTTTTTTTTTTGACTACTTTTCTATGGAGCTTACTCAAACATACTCATCTAAGGAACTGGAAAGCTGCCTTTCTTTGAGGTTATGCTGGTGTGTTTGTGCTCTTCTGTGTGTGCATGTGGGGGGCAGTGGTCAGTGCTGAGTGTTCTCTCCATTGCCCTCTGCCTCATTTTCTGAGATGGTCTCAGTGATTGATCGGACTGACTGGGAGTCCTTTCTCCATCTCCCAGTGGCTTTGCAGATGCATGATGCTGCTGGGATCTGGACGAAGGCTTCCACAGCAAGCACTACCCCCTGACCATTTCCCCAGAACTCTTTCAGATTTTATGTGCTTTGTTACTTTGACAAGTCGTTGCTGTATTGAAGTTTAAGGGATTTATATAATCTGTTTTCAAAGAAAAAAAATTTATGATCCCTAGAACGCCACATAATTGATGACTATTTCTTTGTGAATTCCTATTGAAATTAAGTACTAGGGACGATAAGTGAGGGTGTATTTTGCTGTCTGAATTCAATTTATAGGAGGTAAGAGAGAAAGAGGGATGGATAATAGCACAGGAAATACTTCCAGAATGATTTGTAATGTTGGTGAGTTTATAAAAGTGCCCTATGGGTTTTCCTTTGTGAAGTTTTTCCCTTCCTTCCTTCCTTCCTTCCTTCCTTCCTTCCTTCCTTCCTCCCTCCCTCCCTCCCTCCCTCCCTCCCTTCCTTCCTTCCTTCCTTTTTTCCTTCCTTCCTCCCTCCCTCCCTCCCTCCCTTCCTTCCTTCCTTTTTTCCTTCCTTCCTTCCTTCCTTTTTTCCTTCCTTCCCTCCCTTCTTCCTTGCTTCCTCCTTCTCTCTCCCCCCTCCCTCCCTGCCTCCTTCCCTCCCTCTCTCCCTCACTCCCTCACTCCCCCCCCCCATCCCCGAAAGGCAGCTAGACTGACATGAGTCATGATTAGTTCTAAGCTCATTGACACACCAGGACAATCCACAGTCCTTTGGATATTGCTGTATTAGTGGATAAAATCAACAAAGAGGAAAGGTGTTTGGAGTGAAGTGCAGTGGAAACCACACAATGCCTAGAGTTTTCAGGGTCTCACAGTACATGTTCCTCCAGGACTGTGCAGAGCCGACAAGATCTCACTAGAGAGTCTAGTGTTTATGGAGGCTGCTGTCTAGGTCCCCGTGACCTACACCTGGTGTACTTCCAGACTCCTACTAGGAAAGAATGCTCAGTATAAACCACACAGCACAGGCTATAGACACCGTAAGGAGCCTTGCCCGTTAGGTGGAGGGGCTCTCCTGAATCCCAAATTCCTGGATTATCAAACACTGTCCCTTTGAGCAGACCTTGTGAAGAACAGATAGACTCCAGCATGCTGTATTATTCTTTTTTACACTACTCTCCATTAACATTTTGATTAGGTTATGGTACAGCCTGGTGAAGAGAGGGGATAGTCCAGTTGTGTCTTTGGAGTGTAAATTGAGCTTGCCAAAGGGCCTGATCAGCAATGAAGAGGATAAAGGAATGTCTACTTATTTGATCTTAGTATCAAGCCAATTATTACCAATTTTGAGAAGCAGGAGAAAGGTTCTGCCCGGCATCGTATATTGTAGCCTTTTATCAGCATTGAGAGGAGTAGTTAGAATAAAGCACAGAGAAGCGATGATTGTAATAGTAAAGTTTGCAGCTCCTGGCTTTTGACTTTTAAGAAGTATGCCTTTCTTTTTGGAGCACTTTTAGGTCCATAGCAAAACTGAGAGGAAGGCAATATGGAACCATCCCATTCTGATACGTTCTGCCTCCCCTTTCCATATGCCTTCCCAGAGAAGAACACTAGTTACAACTGATGCCCACATGTCAACATGCTATTATAGCCTAAAGACCATAGTGTACACGAGAGTCACTTCTGTTAGCGTTTTATGGGTTTGGGCGAATTTAATGGTGTGCATCTGCTGTTAAGTATTATACACAGTCATTTTGTTTGTGCTTTTGCCCTCACCTTTCCTCCATCTCTGCCAATCACTAGTCTGTTTACTGTCTGCACAGTTTGTGCTTTCTACAAAGACCTCATACGGAATTCACACACATGGAATCATGAAATGCATACACTTCAGATTGAATTCTTTC